TCGTTTCAGGCGAATGAAGTTGCAACTCCTTTGAAATAAACCCCATCCCATCGCGGGCCCCCATCTTTGTCGTGGCTTTATTTTGCCTGGTCTTTGCCTCGCAAAAAGGCAAACCCTCTTTGGCATCCGGGTGGGCAGATTCCAGAAGAATCTTCTCCCCTCCGTGGAAAATCATCCGTGGGTTTTCAAAAAACCACCACGGCCGCAGAGTAGGACAACAACAAATTGCGTGGCCAAGAGACCAAAGGCGCATTTGCAAAGCCGTGGCAGCCTTTAGCCCGGCTGATGGGCCGGATAAAATGTTTTAAGCCGTGCCAACGCGGCGCGGAGGCTCACCTCTCTTCGCCCAGTAGCTTGTCCTGGAGGTCCTGGATCTGCGACTCCAACTGGGACACGTTGGCGCTGGATTTCTGCAGCCCTTCGTTGCTGGCCAGCCGGCTTTTAAGGTCCTTGTTCTGGGAAGAGGATTGGAAATGTGTGACAAAAATGCATGGGAGGGAAGGGTGGAGAAGCTTACGGGGGACCCCCAAATCCTTCCGCTCCCCAGAGTCAGGCGGCTAATCCTTTTGGGCAGCAGAGAAAAATAAAATGGCATTTTTGGCAGGATTGAGCGCGAGGAGGAGGAAAAGGGCCCCAAACCCTCAGCTCGGTTTCCGTTTCTTGAAAGCGTGAGAACGTTAAAATCAGGAGGGAAAGCGAGTTTTGTCCCTGTTACTTGTAAGCTGAGGAAGCTCCAGCTACAAGATTTCTTCCTTTCTGCAATATCTATTGCAGGCAAAGGGGCGTCCTGGAAACGCCAAGGAAGTGGGTTATTCTCTTCTCAAGCATTGGTTTCTTTCCCCTCTACACGGCACAGATCTTGAATCCTCCTTTGCACCGTGCCGCTTGGCTCACTGGCTCGAGTCCCCAAGAGTCAAGCTCAGAGATCCCCCAGCTGTCAAATCAAGATGGCCCCGGAGGCTGCCGAACACGCAGAGGCCACGTGCTATTTCCCACGCCGGCGGTGCACACGGGAGCAGTGAACCACAACGTGACCCACGGCCCCTTAGGAGCACCTTGGGCTGAGTCAGCAAGTTGTGGTTGTACACAGCGAGTCGGCGCAGACGTAGAAGTTAAGCGTAGCGTTGTGTAACGCCCTTCAGCCAAGGAAAGGGGGGGAAAAAACTCTCCCTTCTCTGAATGGGGCATTTCATTCCCCGAGTTGTATAACAGCCGCGACGTTCTCCTTGCATTGAAGCCCGGCCGGATGGAACGAGGGGGGGAAAAAAAGGGTTTTCCCTTTAAAGCCGCGCGGAGTCTTGAAAGGGCTGTAAACATCCTCCCGCCGTGTTCAGACTCGTTTGGGTCGGCGATTGGGAACGCTGGAAAACTCCGTGGGAACGAGCAAAAAAAGGCACCGTTTTGCCCAGGAAGAAAAAGGGAAGGAAAGGTGTTGACCCCTCCCGGCAGGGCTCAGGGCCCCGTGCGCAGAGATAGACTGCTCCTACACGGGGAGGCTCTGGCAAACCTCGGTTCTTGCCCTCCCAGCGGGCTTACCTGCCTTTCCAAGGCGACTTTGTCGCACTCCAGGTCTTGGCGGGTGGAGCGTTCCTGCAGCAACTCGGCTCGCAGTTGGTCGATCTCCGAGGGGGGGAGAGAAAAGAGGGGCAAAAACTTAGTCCGGCAGCTGGGGGCCTCTCCTGGTGGACCAGGTGCCTCCCCCACGCCGGGATCTCCCAGCACTTTTTGCTCAAAGGTAGACTGCCCCCGTACATGGAGGTTCCGTCCAAATTAAGACGCCGATGGTAATCAAAGGCCGGGCCTGAACAGCTCCCTTGCTTCTTGCAGGGACCGGACCGAGTAGTCTTGGGAAACGCCCCGAGCACGGCTTGAGGGCAACTGAAACGACGGGGCGGTATATTGCACCTGAATGGGGAGGCTCCATTGCGGCCCAGAAGGGTTTCTAACCCTGTCTCCTTGCACAAAGGCACCTAAACCCGTCTGCTAACTCCTCCAGCTTTCTTTTAGCCCCCGCTAATGGAACAGCCAGGAACCCCGACAGCTAAAAGGCTGAGCTGGAAACCGGGACGTCTCCCGTTCGAATCTCACCTGTGTTACCAATACGTTCGATCTTAAACTCGGTCCCCACCCCCGTTTTTTTTGCAAAATGGCTTTGTTATTTACAGCAAAAATAGTCTAGACGCGTGCAAGTTCTTTGTACCTCCATAGTCTGTTTTGTTTTTACTGGTCCTTTTTTCCCCCCAAACTGGTTGCGCGACACGGTTCTGTGTATTGCTGCACATTTCGCAAAGCCATATAATTGGCACGTTGGGTCGTTTCTAACATGCAGGGAAATGACAGTGCTGTAGAAAACTAAGTATAGTCATTGAGGGCGCTGGGAAGGGCTGGAGAGGTGATGAGATCAGCCTTAAACCACAGACACAGCTGTTCAGCGAGCTTTGAAGTGCGCCGGGGATTTCACACAACGCGGCACGTACGGAAGACACCATGTCCTGCCGGTCTGGTGCGAACCAAACATCTTCTTTTATTGCTTACAAGCCAACTGCGGGCCACGAGTTGGTCTGTTTGGTTCTGAATGATGTTAACTTCTAAAGACTTAAGCTCAAACAAGGGACCCGGTGGGGAAGGGGATCAATCTGAACCTCCTGGCGTCAGACCCAAAACATTGCAATTATGCACAACACGTGAGATTTTCTGGGGCGTCTACTTGGCCACTGTCAAATGGCTATTACTCTTCCTCCAATTCTCCTCTTCCAACTGCATAGTTTTAGCACAAAATGTTATTACTTTTTATTATCCCTTATTTCCTGTTGCTATGCAAACCCACAGAGCTTTTAGCACCGACTTGGCCAATAAAGTCCTTCCTTCCTTCCTTCCTTCCTTCCTTCCTTCCTTCCTTCCTTCCTTCCTT